ACCACACTCCTGACAGTTTTTTTCCAAATTTTAGGAATGACATTGGGTCACAAGAAAAAAAATATCTAATTTTGATGCTTGTTATCACGCTTTCCCTTGTCGTTCTGACAGAAATTCTATTATTTCCTGGCTTTGGTCCCATGTTCTAATTCTTCTAGATATTATTTAGTTTTTCAAATGTTCACTCAGCATGAGTGCCAACAGGCACATAAGCAGTCCTAGCTGCCTGAGATGGCCTCGGAGGCTGAACGGGAAAGCCTCTATCCGCACCAGCATGTGGACGGATGTGCCAGTAGGACCAGGGTCTGGATGCTCAAGAACAAAGTCTTTGGCTCAGATCAGCCCTGTCCAATAGAGACATAATGCAAGGCATGTATGTCATTTGAAATTACCAGTAGCCACATTTTTAAAAAGTGGAATTAGTTTTAGTAAAATTTAGCGGTATCTGCAATATTATCATTTCGGCATGTAATCAGCAACACAAAAATTAGTGAGATACTTGACATTCGCTTTAGTCACTCTGGTGGCCGTAACAAAGTGCCACGGACTGGGTACCCTCAATTCATGTATTCCCTCATAGTTCTGGAGGCTGGAAGTCCAAGATCAAGTCACCGGCTGGACGGCTTCTTTGGAGGCCTCTGTCCTTGGCTCGCAGATGGACCTCTTCTCAGTCTGTCCTCACCCGGTCCTTACTGTGGAGTCTGTGTGCTAATGTCTTCTTAGAAGTACACTAGTCTGATTGGATCCGGGCCCAGCCCAGGGACCTCACTTTACCCTAATCACCTCTTCAAAGGACGAAACACAGTCACATCCTGAGGTCCTAGAGATTAGGACTTGAACATGTGAGTTTCTGGCAGAAACAACTCAGCCCTCGACAACATTCTTTACACTAAGTCTTAAAAATCCCGTGTGTATTATATGCTGACAGCCCACCCTGGTTTGGACCGGCCACACTTCAGGTGCCAATGATCACATGTTCCTCGTGACTCCAGGATCAGAATGCTCAGGTTACAGTCCCACCCACTGCCTGAGCGCTGGCTTTCCCCGTGCACCTGCTCAGGGGTCCCCCTGCATTAACTGAGGGCCTTCTCAAGTTCCCATTGCCTAGAACACTTGCTACCCATCACCAAAGAGCCACTGTGAGGTAGGGTTCCCCCAAGGTGATTGCAATCTGGGAACGGAGTCTAGAAATGTGTACGGCGAGGCCCTCCCAAAGTCAAGTTTGGTGATCCGCAGCAATGAGCATAGCCATTTGTCTTATTCCATTGTATTCCAAAAAGGCACAGAGGACATTCTTTCTCAAATACTGCATAGACCCCCACCTGGCAGGGACACCCATGTCTCAGCCTTACTTCCTAAATGAAAATGAAATAATGAATATATATAATAATGAATATATTGTGTCATTTATATATATAATGAAAATATATAAATGAAATAATATATATAAATGAAATAAAAATGAAAATAAAGCGCCCAACTCTGATACCTTCTGCTGTGACCTCCCACCTCCCTCACTCCCTGGCTGGGTAGGTTTCCAGGGTCCTAGCCACAGGGAACAGGAGCCCGTTTTCTCCTGCTGCACACACCATGCCGAGCCCCCCTGGGAGAAGGAAATGGGGATCAAGGTCCAATACCAAGTTCTGTGAGCTATCTCTATTTTCACATGTCCAGTTGTGGGAAGCTGTACTAGAGCTGGGGGATTTGTGTGAATATCATCTTTTCTAGAACATAGACCTACTTAGGTAATTTCCACATGCCTTGAGAGCCCTCCGTTAGAAGCCTGACTCACTTTCTACTTAAATGCCGTCAGAGAGGGAGATGCTGCCCGTCTGCCTCCCCTTCTGGGCACTTCTACCCCCTGGGGCCCACTGTGGTCACGTGACTTGCTTTAGCCAACGGCATGAGCAGAAACGCATGGGTCATTTCTGGACAGTGCGTGCAGGGGCCAGGCTGGTGACGCGCTGTCCCTTCGTGGCTGCATTCCTTTGTGGCGGAATCCGTGCCCATCTGGGCTCTGGGACAGCAGGACGGACTCGTGGCACGAGTGAAAAATACCTCCAGGTGGCCCAGAGCCACTGAGACTTCGTGAGGCCGAAACTCCAGCATATTCCCGCCCATTGGGACTGATGGAGGCGATGAGTAATACTTGCTTCTGTTCTCTTCTTCCCAGGAAATGTCATGCTTGTTGATGTCAGAACGAGTTTTTTGTGCCTCAAAGCTAATCACCCGGGTACTTCAGATCTCATCTGATGAATTTCCTCCCTCACCTGTGCTCGTTCTCAAAGTGAGCTTTCGATGGATGAGGGGACTTTGGTTCTTTGAACATTCTGGTGGAAAAGTGACAAATCCTCAGGAAGGCTTTTCAATCGGTTTTGCCAAGACAAGTCTAACAGCTACTGTGGAGACAACCCTCCTAAACTGTGATTAACAAGTACACTCTTCCAGACTCCAGGTTAGCCAGCTGGTCACTTTACCATAACCACCTCTGTGTCTCCTCCAGAAAATAGGAACATGTGAGAATGGTCCCTCTGTCTGCTTCTCTTTCTGTCTCTCATACTTTGTCACTTGAGCTTTTTCAAAACCAGGATTTCTCAACCTTGGCAATATTGACATTCTGGGCTGGAGAATTCTTTGTTGTGTGTCTGTACGTCATTCTAGGATGTTCAGCAGCGTCCCTGACCTTCACCCACTAGATGCCAGGGCTGTCCAGGCCCCCAGTCATGCCAACCTCAAATGTCTCCTGAGGGTTCTGGTTGAGAACCCCTCTATTCTAAACTGAACACATTCCTTCCCCCACCCCCATGCCTCCATACGAGGCTACCTTTGCTAAGAATGAAAAGGACTCTCTTCTTTGATTTATTATTTATTGAAGGCCACTGTCCTGTTATAGACGAACATTTCCAACTATCAGAAGTCACTCTCAAATGCTGAGTATTCATTCACTCTTCCACTGATTTCTCCGTTCCTTCAACAAATGCCCACCGGGTTACGTGTCAGGCATCATTTTGAGAATCAGACACTTGGTGGAAAGAAAATGTGTGGCTACTACATTCATGGCACTGAGAGCCTATTGAGAGACCTGCTGAGGACCTACACATACAAACCTATCGCTGCAAACTGTAGAGTGCTGTAGAGGAGGAGAGGACATCGCAGGGGTCAGAGGAGAGGTGACATTCAAGCTGAGATGGGAAGAAACCAGCCAAGGGCAAGAGCAGCAGAAGCCTGCTGGGCAGAGGCAGGAAGGGCTGATCCATGTGAGGCTCCCCCACATTTGGGCAATGTGGTCAGAATATAGGGTGTGAGGGAGGGAACGAGGGTGACGTGGTAGGAGAAGTCTCAGGGACCAAGGCTGTCGGAGGACACATCGCCACGGTGAGAGCCCAGAACGGCCACGAGCAAAGGCACACGTTCCTTCAGCCCCAATGACATCTGGCCCTCCCCGGTGCCCCTCCTGCTCTGCCTACCCCATGGCCCAGAACACAGCAAGCCAGGAAGTCATCAGGGCAAGGAATGGCTGAATCAGCCCCATTTCCTCTAGCACTTTGCTGAGAAATAGGGTTCCCCTGGCTGAACTAATAAAATTTTAGTAATTGGCCTTAACTGTGAAAGCGTCTCATTGCTATGAAGAAGTACAGTCTGTTCCACCACAGGACCAGGTGTAATCCGTAGAACATTTCCAAGTGGCCTCTGGGCAATCTCCACCCTATTCTGAACAGTTCGATTTTTTGTCCCTGTGACAAGGACAGTAAGGAATGAATAAAACACACATTATCTTTTCAATAGGGTTTGATCTGTACTGACAGCCACAAAAAGAGGTGGCCATCATCCTCTCCTGCTGTAAGTGCTGTTCTGGGTAGAATTGTGTGTGTGTGTGCGTCCCGCCCCTCCACCCTCCCAAAATCCCTGGTTTCTGTGAATGTGACCTTATTTGGAAATAGGGTCTTTGGATGTGATCAGTGAAGAGCCGGTCATACCGGATTGGGTGGTAAATCCAATGACCGGTGGGCTTGGGAGAGGGAAATCTGGACACGGAGACACACACAGGGCAGGTGCCATGTGCCATCGGAGATGGAGCCATGGGACACTGAGGGTGGCCAGCAACCCCAGGAACTAAGAGGAAGGCACGGGACAGATTCTCCCTTTCGTCATTCTGACACAGAGAGCACGGCCCTGCTGACATGTGCGCGTCTGGCTTAGAGCCTCTAGGACAGGGAGAGAACCCATTTCTGTCATTTAAGGCCACTCAGTTGGTAGTGTTTTATTACAGAAGCCCTAGGAGACTCACACGGTACCTCCACGGATTCTCTGGTCACCTTCCTCTGAGTGAGAAAGAAAAAGCAGGTAACCAAGGTGAGTTATGAATCCTGATGAAGTCACAGAAGGAGGTCCAAAGTAGGTGGCAGATTTTCAAAACTTCCAAATCTCAAGTAGCTCCTTTTTTTATTCCCCCCGAATAGTTACAGCTTATGTGAATCACACAAACTACACTGATGAGATCTATTACTGGCTGATTAAAATGATGGCAGGTTTCCTTCCCATAGAAGTCAATGGAATAAATAATTTGTGAGAGCCAATTAATCTAGAATCCGCCAAAATGGAGCACAACTGGTCTTACCACAGGATTCATTTCTCAGCGGTCATAGAAAAATGCAAACTGTCAAAGGAATCCATTCGTTCTAAGTGCTCAGAAGTGCCTCCAAAATCAGGGTCCTGGACATGGTTCTCTCCGGCAAGGACTAGTAAAATACTTGTGCTCTTTAGTCTTTACTTTCAGAGCACGTATAAAGGGAAGAACTGCAGGGGTTTTTTGGTAGGATTTCTTAGAAGTGCCAACGGGTGGACCATGCATAAAACCTTCCAATACACAATCTGTTAACAAATGTCTGGTTCTACAAACATCGTGTGTTACAAAATGTGTTCTGTAGGAAGGTATGCATAAAGAGGAAAACACAGGAAAAAAAAAAACGACTTTTTTTTTTTTTTTTTTTTTTTTTTACCTTGCCTTTGTCGAAGTAGTGGATGATTTCCTGGTAGAGCTGTTCCTTCAGCTGGCCCTGTGTTGTTGCCTGGTACCCGTCCCGCTGGGTGAGGTGGGCCGCGCACACATCCTCCGACCACTGAGGCAAAAGCAAAGCATGAGACCTGTCAGGCAAGGGTGTGTCCAGTGCCACCACTGGCCCACCCTTGGTCAGAATGCACCACAGTGAGCCCCGCATGCCCTGCATGCATGCAGGCCAAGGTCCCAGGGACACTCGGGGCTGCTGGGGCCTGGAAACGAGAGTGGAACCTCTGTGTAGAACCCCTACGAGGAAGGAAAGACGAGGCGGAGGCAAAGCTGGGCCTGGATTCATACAGAAGAGAAACCCAGCAGGTTCTGGAAAGCACAGAACTGTCAGCTTGCTGATAACGTCTTTTAACTCCTGAGGTGAATTACGAGCCAGGCGATTTGGGGCTGTCTCAAGTGAGGCATCCCGGGGTGCTGGCCTCTGTCCTGAGATGCTCAACATTTTACTCAACAGCAAAGAAGATACACGGATCTCACATACCAGTCATACCTTTAAGCTTTGCCTTAAAATTAGACTTGTGTATCCTGACTACAACCAGTTGTTATGAAATGATTAATTATGGAGTTCTCACGGCATAGCTAGATTTCTACCTTCACGGGGGATAAACGTAAAATTTTAGGTGATTCTGGCATGTAACTACAATAAAATAAATAGGAAAGTTCCAATCTTGAATAACTTCTTCGCAGTTTAAAATCACTGACAAAAATATTGAATAGGGGAGAAAAAGTCCCTCTATACCTTCCAATTAAACACTCACATGATTTTGCTTGATTACTAGGGCTCAAGGCTAATGGTTTTATCGCTCTTGTTTTTGACAAAATAACCAACAGGGATGATATTTAAAAATTTTTAATTAATGAACAAGAATATATTTGTCACGTTGAAGAACAATTTTCACAACAATACAAATAACGCCTTTTGTAAGTTGATTAACCAGCATGAGTTTACGCTGAATGCAATATCAAAACATATTTAGGGAAAATTGTGAAACGTCACGGTGTAAAATATATGGAGAGAAATTACAGAGCATTTGCCACTTAACTGGGAAATCCAGAGTCCCAGTGGAAAAGATAATGCATCCGGGCCTACGGTTTGGGATGTGAAAAGCCCTCGTATGGTCCGTGATGAACCCATCTGTGCTCAATAAATGTTTGTGTACTATGAGTGAGGGTAAGTGAGCACTTTGTCAACCCCATTTCAATTTCCCTGGTGAAAATAAATACCTTCGTATTTGCAAGAATGCCTTATTACCGAAATCTGGGTTTCTAACAAATGAAGACTGTTAGAATTCCTAGCGATACGGCTGGTGTCAGGTGTACCAACGGAAATCTCTAGCATCCTAAATCACATTCCTTGGGAGAGCTTTATTGGTGTAAAGCCAAAGGGCGTCTATTGATGACTATTGACGAGGCTCCCAGATGGAGCCTCCTCCTGTTTTCTTTGTAATGGACCCCTTTGTTTTCAGGCAAAGATAAACGTCCACACTCCAGTGTCTCTATAGCAGCCCCTGTAGATTTGTAGCATCAAGAGATGCTGGAGATTTTGGGGTTGGGCCAAAGGCTGGAAGATTCTTGCTGGAGTTTCACTCCAAACACAGTGTCCTCCTTAATGCTTCTCATTACCCACAGACATTGCTTAATGCCTGTTTTAATGTAATCTTTTCAGGTTTTTGGTGCTCGAGGGGCTGGCCCGATTTTGAAAACAGGACTCCTTGAATGAGTGGTCTTTATGTTGGGTCACTCAACTAAATTCTAATTCTCCTAACTGTTTGTGTTTATCCAGTTTATAATTTTTCAAATTTATAAGGATGTAATGGGAAAGAAGATCTAACGATTAGCTAAAGTTTTAAAACGTAAAACTAGAGGTTGTATAGCATCTCCTTCATCCATCCACTCATCCATCCACCTGCCACTTAGCTACCTACTTACACATTTGGATAAATCTATTTACCCATCCACTCATCCATCCATTCATCCATCCACCCATCTATCCACCTACCTACCCATACTTCCATCCTTCCTTCCATGCATCTATCCATCCATTCATCCAACCATCCATCTATCCATCCATCCATCCACACACCCACCTCCATTCTTCAATCCATCCAACCATCCAACCACCCAAACATCCATCCATCCATCCATCCATCCACCCACCCAATTACTTACTGAGGGTCTACTCTGTATGATTAACTGGGCTAGAATTGGATATGAGGGAAGAACATTAATGTATTACTGCAAACAAACAAATAAGCCAATGTCAAAACATATATGCATAACAAAAGAACCACTGGAACTGAAAGTTGTCATGCCAGACCTGTGCTCAGGAGCAACACTCCAGGAGAATCAGGCGGGAGATCTCACCTGAACTGATGGACTAATACAAGATCTCAATGTGAGCTCTTTGCTAAGATAATCAGGGATATGTTTCATCCTGTCTCTTAGCTATCTACCTCAGAAATCCCTTCTTATTGATGACATTCTCCTCTACTACTGAGTCTTGCTGGCATGAATAAGAATCTGTAGAATCTCTAACTCATTGCTAGACAACAGCCCAATGATGGGTGTTTATGATGCTTAGTGATGATCTGCTAGGACATCTTGTTAAATCTGCATTCAGTAGGGCAAAGTCTGTCATCAAAGTACCTTCTAAATGTCTTCGTTTATGTCACTGCATTTAGTCAAAATCCCTAAGATCTTAAATTATAGGTTCATTAAAATTTATCATGGAAAAATAAAATTTTAAATCTTCTTAGAATTTATGACAACAGAATCATGAAGGTATGTAGTAATTTCTAGTCATTTCTATTACCTTCAGGAGCTTTGCGTGGAGAAGCAAGGTGTAGGCCGCCTCTGTGTAGTTGTCACACTCTCTGTGCAGGTCACAGAGCTTGTACAGGTACCTGAGACAATGAAACACAGCGATATTCTTAAGATGTCAACAAATCATTTGTGTTGAGGACTGCAAGATCTGACATCTACCTTCAACGGTAAATTGTATCTATACTTTCTCTTCACAGTGGTCACAATTCCCAATGCCTCGAACACTTCTGGTGCAGAAAGCACTAAGGAAAACCAACAAGAGTAATATACAATAATATTTTGTAAAAAAATCTTAAGTCCTCCCTTTTCAGGTTGAAAATGAAGACCGCCCAAGAATGCAGAATTGTACTTCAAGGGTCTCTCACTCCTTTTCATCTTTTCCAGAGTTTTCTTCTTACATTTGAAATGAGATCATGAAGTTTGCTTGTGATTTCTCACATTTCTATTGAATCCAAATGCACACTCCCCAAAAAAATCCATAAAAATAAAGAGCTCCAATGATCACGGTGAATGTGATCAAAAGAATTTCTCTGCCATAAAGATATAAAGGTTGCTTTTTAATATAGAGTAAACTACATTTTGGATAAAAGAATCTGGTTGCTTTTGCAAAAGTTTATTAAGTTTATGTGATATATTTTTATAAAGGAGAAACAAAAAAAATTCTTAGAAATCAAGTTAGAAAATCATGCTTGATGTAATAAACACATCATTAAACACTAAGCCACATGGACATACCCTTATTCTATTCTGCTAAGTTATAATCTTGCTAAATACTGACACTGGTCCCTAGAAGTGACCAAGAGAGGGGCTACAACACAGCCCACCCCTCTACAGAAAAAGGCAAATGAAGGAGAAAAATCCAGCAGATAATATAAAACATCAGAATAAAGTGTCAGTTAAAGGAAGAATAGACTGAAAAATTATACTCTGTTGTCTATTTCTGATAAAATTAAAACTGATTTCTCATTTGATCATATGGTTTACTGTAAAACATGAAAATTATGCTGTTGTCTCTTTTCAAAAGGGCCACATGAGTCAGTCAAGAGATACAAAAACCCTGTGAAATAATAATTTATGGCTTTACTCTAAGCTGGCTAAACATGACCCGCGAAATGTCTGCGTTGGCATCTGCAACAAGGATTCAGAATACACCAAACTCAACTTCTGGATTCACGATTTCTACAAGATAAATCCCTGTGGCCATAAAACAGTTGTTAGCATGCACTTGACAAACAGCAACTATCATAAACATGCAGAGGGCATGGACAAGCGGGATGCCTACATACCTTATATACATTTCTTCTCTTTCGATTTCTTTGTAGAAATTCTGAAAAATCAAACCATAACACTGTTTTAAGAAACCTGTTTTACAAAAGGTGTCACATGAGCACTAAACATTCACAGTTCTTCCACTGGTGTCTAGCACAGCCAAAGGGACCCAGCTCTTTGGTTTAGAACCATAAATTCACATAAAGTACAAAGATGTCTTACACTGGTCTTCACTTTTTGGGGGGGGGGCGACGCTAATGATTCCATTTCCTACACTGTGAGGACTAAAACCTACTTTTGTCATTTGAAAGTCACCAGTCTTTAGCTAAATGAAGGTTTTACCCCAAAGATATGATGCCTTAGCCATTCTTACCACTGTAAAGTCATTAGAAGATGAAAAAAACATGAAAGATCCCAAATTTGGGAATAAACATCATCAACATGATTTAAAACATGCTGGGCCCAGCCTTGGCTGGAGCTGCAAGAAGGCAACGTGGTATATTCTAGACCTGAGGTGTCCAATACAGTAGCCATAGCCACACGCATGCAAATGTAAATTTAATTAAAATTAAATAAAGTTAGGGCCACCTGAGTGGCTCAGTCAGTTAAGCATCCAACTCTTGACTTGGGCTCAGGTCATGATCTCAGGGTCATGGGATCCAGTCCCATGTCGTGCTCCCCGCTTGGCAGGGAGTCTGTTTGAGATTCTCTGATTCTCTCCCTCTCCCTCTGCCCCTCCCACTGCTCTCCTCTCTCTCTCTCTCTCTCTCTCTCTCTCTCTCTCTTAAATAAATAAATAAGTCTTTAAAAAAATTAAATCAAGTGAAACATTTGCTTCCCCTGGGAAGCCATCTGGCCCTGGACTCTTATTTGTTGGGAGAGTTTTTATTACTGCTTCAATGTCTTTGCTGGTTATGGGTCTGTTATTCTATTTCTTCCTGGTTCAGTCTTGGGAGTTTTTATATTTCTAGGAATTTATCCATTTCTTCCAGATTGCCTAATTTGTTGGCATACAATTGCTCATAGTATTCTCGTAAAATTGTTTGTATTTCCACAGTATTGGTTATGATCTCTCTTCTTTCATTCATGATTTTATTTATTTGGGTCCTTTCTCTTTTCTTTTTGATAAGTCTGGCTAGGGGTTTATCAATCTTGTTAATTCTTTCAAAGAACCAGTTCCCAGGTTTGTTGATCTGTTCTGTTTTCTTTTTTTTTAATTTCTACATCATTGATTTCTGCTCTAATTTTTATTATTTCCCTTCTTCGACTGGACTTAGGCTTTATTTGCTGTTCTTTTTCCAGCTCCTTCAGGTGTAAGGTTAGGTTGTGTATTTGAGACTTTTCTTGCTTCTTGAGGAAGGCCTGTATTGCTATATACTTCCCTCTTAGGGCCGCCTTTGCTGCATCCCAAAGGCTTTGGACTGTCGTGTAATTCATTTTACATTCATTCATTTTAATGTGCTTCCATGCTCCCTCTGTTACGCTTGCCATACCCTGAGCACTCAATAGCCACGTGGGGCTAGTGTTACTGTACCAAACTGTGCAGAGAGAGAACATTTCCATCATCACAGAAATTTCTATTGGACAGTGCTGTTCCAGACAGACCGATGTTGCGAACCACAGTAAACCACAGAACTGGCTGCCACTTGAAAGCACCTTCTGTACTTCAACGCTCTCTGACGAAGAAAGATTAATTAGCAGGTTATAAGCAATGGGCTCTTTCTACATACTGTAAAATATCTTCTGGGTGAGCATGAAAATCTCTATAAAAATTGTATTTCTTGGGGTGCTCAGGTGGCTCAGTTAAGCGTCTGCCTTGGGCTCAGGTCATGATCTCAGGGTCCCCGGATCGAGTCCCACATTGGGCTCCCTGCTCAGCGGGGAGTCTGCTTCTCCCTCTCTCTCTGCTGCACTCTCTCTCTCTCAAATAAACAAATAAATTTTTTTTACTGTAATTTTACTTACGTTAAGAAATTGTATTTCTTAACGTAAACATCTCTATTAACACTTTAAAATCTTTACCATATACAGGGCCCCAAAAAAGGTGCAGAACGCTCACCTAACCAGGCCAAAAGGTATGGCAGGCAACACCACACCACTTTCAGTGTGAAATTTAGCCCCTGAATACAACGTGAGGACTCTAGGATTAGGGCCTAAGATCATAGTGCATATCACCATTATAAAGGACTCCAATTATCCCATAAGATGGAATAAGTTGTTTAATTTCATGAGCAAAAAAAGATACTGCTTCTGATAGTGATCTCTCTGAAAAGAAGTGATAAACAAATATAGAAAGTAAGAGGGGGCACCTTTAGAAAAATGCTCCAAGATTTCCATATTTTGCTGCATCTGAGATTTTAATGTCCTCTGGTTCATATGCTATGGCTCAGTAATGAGGATATTTTCAGCCGACAACTCAGAGGGACGTAACAAAGAGAATCCGCATCAAAGGGAGGATGAGCCCTTCACTTCCAGCTCTAACTCACCAGTATTTACAAGCTACGATTTTATACCATCCTATTTTGCACTGGTATTTTTAATCTTTCCCCAAGCTTTTGATCATTCTCCTTTACAATTTCACAATAAGGACATCATGCGACCTTTATTCCTCTCTCATGGATATGGAAATGTCTTCTATTTCCTGCCTGTGCTTAGTTCTGTTCCCTTCCTAGGACTTCAAAACACCTCTACAACTGAAGGACGCTCATCTCAAACCCCAGTTTCTATATAAAACTATGGGTTTCTTATGTAAAAGTTCACATTGCTCTTGGCGCTCCACTTCTGGGCTCTGCCGGCAGCACCCCCCCGCTCCCCATCATCCCCCCTTCTGAAGTCCCTTCTGCACCGGTGCTGAGTCTGTGCCAGGCACAAGCTCTGTGGATCTCTGCAACCCTTTCTGGACTAGACCCCCAATGCTAATGCAGCACAAAGCACCAATCTTCCAGAACTTACACATTTGCCTTATACTCCAGATCTGTATTCCTTCATGATGACAACAAGTACTGAGATTTTTAGAATTCTCATGAGAACCACCTTAATTAGCCTTGTAAAGGGGCCATGAAAAAAGTAACTGATGTCTAAAAAATAACAAGGAGTCTATCACATCTGAGAAAGGGCTATCTTGATGACTGCGTAGAAAAAAGTGGTGACACACAACAAAATTACCAACCAGTCATGAAAGAATGCACGACTGTGAGGGGACAACGAAATTCTACTTCATTACAAATGTGCATTCTGTCCAGGGGCAACCATGATCCAATGTAATGCAGACGTGCTTCAGGGGTGGGTACGTGTAGAGGACTTAGGTCACTGCACAGTGACTGCTCGTCAATTATTAAAAAAATTTTTTTTTTAAATGCAAGGAACAGTAACACATTAGTGAACCCGCACAACTTAGAATGTTCACCGATTCCATTTTATTTTTTTAAAAACAAGAGCACTGGTTCTAAAGGAAATTTGGCAATGGGTTTAAAGGGCATCAATAAATCCTATGTCCTCGATTCTATTTTTTAACTTTAGGATTTCAAGGTTAGCGATAAACAGGGTGCATTTTATATATCACTAATGTATGCTTATACGTCTATATTCATCTAGAGATGGATATACATATTCATCTCTATGAAACTCTGTTTCTTAATAAAGTACCAGGAGACAAGGTGAAAATGGACCAAGAGATTAAAAGTGTATTTACGTTTTTATTTATATGACTAAATGTGAGCTGGGTAGTGAATATTAAAAGACAGAACATCAGTCTGTACGAGCCCGGTGTTCTTGTTTCCCTTTAATCCATAGATCTATCTTACTTTTTAAACGAAAGACCTGTGATAGGCTGGGATCCATCTTATGATCCCCAGGAAATGGTTAAGAATGGAACTCCTGACTCTTCATGGACTGATCTGGGATGTTCCAAGTTCAAAGATGTTAACGATGTCAGGTAATCTCAGGAATCCTGGGTGTGTTTCTTGGTTAGAGCCTGGCTAGTGGTGACTGCAGTAACAACAGGTAGGTCCTGAGTGAGCCTCCGTATGACAGGGGAACACAGTTTAACATCAGCAACTGTGACCGCAGGTGGCCTTTCAAAAGCTGATTTTCCGACCCTGGGTTCTGATGATTAAAAGGCCACATTCAGAGCACATCTCCACTAGGTTTCACGTCCTGGGGAGCATGAGAGATCTTGCTTAAAAAAAACAATATTCTCAATCATCAAAGTTGGAAAGTGAATAAACATATTAATAATTCTTCCCTCTGGACACAAATCAGCTTCTTAGATCCCGTTAAAAATCCGAGGGTATGTATGTCCATAGTAGGAAAGTAAGCGGTGATTCACTGGATCCTCTTGTCTCTCCAATTTTGGGGGCAGAGCAGTTTTCCCTGTAGACCTGAGAAGATGGATCTAAGAAGAGTTGTTAATTTTAGGTTTTCCAGCTTTTTCCTTATGGCGAAGAGTCCAAGCTCCTTTTAAACTGGAAACCAGAAGTCCCCCATATTTAGATGTTGAGGGAAAAGAAAACTTGCTATAGAAGATATTTATCATTCGTCAAAACAGGCTGCCAATCCACAGAAGGCAGGCGCTGAGGTGGCTCATGAGCTCCTCATGCAAAGCACAAATGCAGTATCGACAATACACTGGATGGGAGGTGAAAATATCCCCTTTTGCTTTTAAACCTATTGCATCTCTAGTGGTTTTCTAAAGACTGAATGATGGGTCCTATTTCCTCTTGGCACACAAGTCCATTGCCACGAGTTCAAAGTGCCTACAGGTCCATTCCAGTTGGGGGGACGGGGGGATGGAAGTGAAGGCAGAGCGTCTACGTGTCATCTAGTGACCAGAGGACAATATACAAACTCTAGAGAAGTGAAGTAGGTAGCACGAAGCAGGAACAGTGTTTTCTCAAATTCCTGCCTTCGTACAGGCAGGGGCAATCGAGGCAAACCCTCTCAGCACCAAGAGTCTGCTCTTCTGGCTCCTTCTGGGAGTGACCGAGGAGGATGACGCAGAGAGGACGAGAGCTCTGAAGGCAGATGTGGGAGTCACATGGCTCCTGACAGTGACGAGACTGGCCAGCCACTCCCTGCAGGGGAGGGAAGCTTGTGAAGCTTCCTGAAAGCGCCCTGCCCCGATTTCTGCACCACAACTACACCAGGAAGGGGGTGTCCACAGGGCCTGGCCATGTCACAGTGACAGGAAGCGTGCAAGAGGCCTGTGGATGGCAGCGGCCAAGTTTACCCAAGCCCCCTGCTCTCCATGAGGCCATGTGCTGGTTCCTCGTGGCTGCTATAACAAATCACCGTAACCCTGGTGGCTTAAAATGATATATATTCTCTCAGAGCTCTGGAGGCCAGAAGTTGAAATCTAGGCATCAGCAGGGCCACAATCCCTCTCAAGGCTCCAGGCGAGAATCCTACTGGCCTCTCCTCACTTTTGGTGGCTCCAAGTGCCCCTTGGCTGGTGGTCACATCACTCCAGTCTCTGCCTGCACCTTCACGTGGTCTTCTGTGTGTCTCCTTTCCTGTCTCTTCTAAGGGCACTTGTTATTGTTATTGGACTTAGGGCCCACCTGGAGAGTAATTCGGGACAATTGCCTCTCGACACCCTTAACTAAATCACATCTGCAAGGAACCTTTTTGTCCAAGTATAGTCACATTCACAGGTTCTGAGGATTGGGAGCTGGACCTATCTCTGGGGGGCTACCACTCAACCCACTACAGGACATGTCTGCAACCTCCTAATGATGAAGCAGTAGAGACCTCTCATCAATGATGGTGCTACCCGGGCGAACAAATGGAATGGCTCATCATTCTCAGCCCCAGGAAGAAGAACCTGGAAACCCCCAGACGGGAGATGATTTTGAAGACGTGTTGACGGCAGAACTGCAAAACCCTTCTTCATTTGTCCTTCCCCGCAACACACAAGGCAACAAGCAAAGGAGGCTGCATTCTGCCTTGGAAAGTTCCGAGGTCAGCTGCCAGGAGGCTTTTGAACTTCCTGGTTCAGTTTCTGGCTCACTGTGAAGATGGAAATTTAATTAACTTGCATTTCACTCACCAGCACGTTGACAGTGCAGCTCATGCGATTTTCTTTGTTCTCATCATGCATGATGGTTCTATAATCCAGAAGTCTTTCCATCAGGCGCACAACGAGTTTGACGAAAGTTTCTCCTGTTTTGGCGAGGTATTTGTGCTTCCTGCAGTGCTCCAAGAGGCTGAAAAATAATTATGCACACCTTGTTAATCACGCTCAGAAAAAGAAAGTTGACTGAGGTGCAATTTAAAATATTTTCTATTATTAACACATTTTAATTATTTCTGGGCTACAAAGTTCATTGTAGTCTAATTACAATCTCTCTGTCTCTATTCTGACATAATTCCTACTGTTAATCAACACTTACATTTTATCAAATAACACTTTGTACTGTTCATCTCCTCTGCCTCCTTCCACTTCATGATCCAGTTTGGTGATGATCTCATTTTCAAACTATAATTAAACACAGGAAGCGTAAATAATCAGCATGGCGGATATTTCATTTTAAAAATGAGCATCAGGAGTACATAAATCAGTAGGAGAGCATCATCAGATAGTTAGTTACACTAAGCCTTTGAAGCCTGATTTCATTTAAGAATCGCCATCCCTGGACCCCGGGAGATGTCTGATGATCCCCTGCCACAGGGGGAATCTTTCATTTCCTTCCCTGGTTAATGGAGCCTAAACATGTATATTCTGATAGCAGGAGCAAGAACCAGAGAAAGAAAGACTACGGAACATGAAAAAGCGTCTCAAACTTCATCTCCACGAACAAGTAACATCTAAAATAGCTCGGTGGTTCCTGGAAAAGAACAGATGGCATTTCACTTGCCAGCAAAGAGTTCTCTGCAATCGCAAAACATCCAAGGGGCCACTTCACTGCCATTCCTTGATGGATCTAGTGAAATATCTCACTTTGGTTGAAAAAAAAATATTATAAAACACAGGAGGGATAATGTCCCTAAAACACCAGCAGACATCTCAAGAAGGTCCATCTCCAGGCCTTCTCCTTGAACACCCCAAAGCTTCTGATCAGATTTCCAGAGCACAGCAGTGGGAAAGGATCCCTAGAACTGTCTCTTGGACCCAAACCCTGTCTCTTGGAGTTTTGGGAAAAACTCTAAATGCTAGAAAGGTACAAATCTCCAGGCTGTTTTCACAAGGGTCATGAACCTCATGGTTGACGAAGCTGGAAATAACCACCTTGCTAATGACGGATCTGAGCACCCATCCCTGCTGCCCAGTCCCCCAACCCTGGCAGGATTCAGGGCCACCTCTGTATGGGATTCTCCATAGTTGACCGCCATGTTGCAGGGGCCCTGAAATTACCCATCGACTTGGGGCAGGGAGGAAGGAGGCCAGTGAGAGAGTTACTCCCACAGAGCGGGAGACAACCACACCAAACTGAAAGAAGACAGGTATAGGAGGAATTGAGGGGAACAACAGCTAAATTTGGGGTTCCGAAAGCAAGAACACCCTGCATTGTAGGCAGGGGCCTCTAGGATCCCCTTATTTTATTTTTTTAAAGATTTTAAGTGTTTATTTAAGAGAGAGCACGCACAAGCGGGGGCAGGGGGAGGGCTGAGGAAAAGGGAGAAGCAGGCTCCCCGCCGAGCAGGGAGCCCAACACGGGGCTCCATCCCAGGACCCCGGGATCATGACCTGAGCTGAAGGCAGACACTTAACCGACTGAGCCACCCAGGTGCCCTAGGATCCTTTTAAAATACATGCTCAGACAATGCTTTCCCAGGGAAGAATCCCCAAGTCTTCCACTATTACTAGGATCCTATAATTATTTAAGCTGTGTGATAGAACTTTTGTGTCTCTGGGTTTCTCCCAGAACAATGCCTGGTGTTGATGTTCTAATGGCCTGAATGTACTATGTGCACATGAATCACTGGGGTATCAGTGCTACATTGGAGCTGGGGAGGGCTTCACAGGTCAGCAGAGGCATGGTCCAGCAGGTTGCTAAGACACAGGCTGGGCTCTTGGCCACGCAAGCCAAGGGGCGGACACACTCATCTGATGGCTGGCAACAGGGGCTGCCAGCATCCGGTCCACACTGGGCACTCGGGGTGCTGCTGCGGCCATGGTAGGCAGCTGACTGTGGCCCCCGGGAGGCAGAAGGCAAGGGGTGTGGGGAGACCCAGGGAGGAGTCTCACACCGGCACAGAGCTGCCTGACCTTGATCAGGACTTGCTGCCTGAAGCCACAATTTTATCACAGTACAGATGAAGTGGAGGCTTGAACAGGACTGGAGAGGAGTATTGATTCCTGCTTGACATCAAGGACTCAGCCACATCACGGATCCCAGACCTCCGTGCATCCTGTAGTTCTCTCCTTGATCTTCCCCATGGTCTCCTCCCCAAATAAACACCCTCTGTTTCATTCTGTTTGGCCTGAAAAGTTCAGGGATTTTTAGGAACATAGAAAAAAAGGCAGCTCTAGTGAAGAAGAAAAAAGAACTTGTTTTATTGTTTTTACCTGAAGCCTCATGATAATGACTCTCCTGTACAGTAAGAGCCTTCTGACGCTAACACACCAGTACTTTGTTCTTTACAGTAAAGAATTCTGCAAAAGGTGGGCCTTTTGGGAATCAAATACGAGGCAGATCAGCTGCCATTAGCCCAAACGTTGATGCTTCAAGCCAGTCCCATTTCCTGGAGGGTACCATGATAGGAGCACCACAGAGAAAGAGTTTTGTGAGTGCTGGTTCTTCAGAACAAATAACTGAGGTACAAAGTAAGACTCAACTTAATTAAAACACACGATTGCACACCACACATGTTTAATGAGCATACAGTGAGGAAGGCACATAGAATGCAGGAAAACATGCTTTATCCTAACGTGGGCAAACACACACAGGCATTTCAACTGTTCATCACTAGTTAATCAGGCGTATTTGAACTTGGGAGTCTACTTCATGGAAATGGCATGTTTTCTCTGCTTCCACGTAAACCTAGCTGTCACAAACAAGAGCAATAAGGAAACTCCAGCTCCTTAAGTATGCTGCTTATCAAATTTTGACTGATGAATTTAATGTTTCCTAAAATGAGCAGAGATGAATGATAAGTAAATCAGAAGAACACAGCTGATTCTAATTTTACTAACCTCTCAACTTAGTAATTTGCACAAGCACCTGGCAACCCTATTCTGTTTATCAGCAAGGATTCAATAACCCAGATCTGCAGCCGGCCTCTCATTCCAGGGTCTGCATTATTTTTTACAGAATATACTAGAATCAATTTGTTAGCGTGCTGTGAACCGTTATCATCATCAGAACTAAACGATCCTGGGGAAAAAAAAAAAAAAAGAACTAAACGATCCTGTCCAAATAAACTGGAGAAAGTCCATTTGCTGAGAGAGCAGAGCTGGTTTTATAAAGAAGTATGTTGATTATCTGACTCGTAAATGCACACTGTCGGGTAATGCGCAGCAGGGTTCTCTATGGTTAGGTTAAAATTAGCAAGGGTTGACTGTGTTGCTCAAAAGGTGGCAGAGGCTCCCTCATGTGATGAGCAAAATCATTATACTTCTTCTCTTTTCGGAATCACCAGTATCACTACAAAAATGTCCACAGGGTGTCCAACTTAAAATGCTGAAGAGAGCATCTCTAAGCATACAATACCAGCGGCCCTCCAAGAGTATGAAACAGAGTCCACGTACAAATTTCGGGCTTTTTGGAAGGTTGCTATAAAGCCAAAGGTAGTGAAGCAGGGGGCTACGCTCACAGGGGTGCTGACAGCGTTGTTAATTCAATTAACTTTGAAAGGAATGACTGCTTTCGCCACTCGACGCCACAGTTAAGCACGGGTTATTGGCTCCAATTTAAGGGATCATGGAGTGAAGGATCTCAGTAGTGGATAATCCAAAAGCCAATTCTGTTTGGTTTAGAATGCATCATTTTTGTTGGGAGTTAGACTGACCATTCCTGCTACAATGCATTTATACATGTCTAGAACCAGGCCTGCATTTTCCAGGCATCCAGGAACACATTTACACAAGAGACTGGAGCTTATGGTCAGAGCAAGGAAGGGGGCTGGACCCAGATGGAAGGGTTTGCACAAATAATTCACCACATCGATAAAGTGTTTGGAGGTTATCAAGAACGGGGTGAAATCTGAAATCTAGGCCAATGGTCTTCTACGTACATTTGCAAAAGCACTTCAACTTTCTACAAATAAGCCTTAGTGAATGTGCTCTTTGTCCAAAGGTGCTCTGCTTTCTCCTGTTGTTCAAGAAAATGTGCTCACGGGTGCTGGAGGTAGGATCAAGATTTGAGAGCACTCCCTGGTCTCAGAGACTCCAAGGAATCAGATTCTCAATGTCTGAACTTCCAGAAGGAACTGGGCCAATCCATCCATCCAGTAGGATTGCAGAACCATGTCCCTTCTCATTAGTGTGGACAGGAGGGGCAGGTGGGAGAACATCACTGAACTGTACCTTCAGGGAAAACAGGACGGAGGGACGAAGGAGCCAGCATGGCTGGGCAGGGAGCCGCCTAGCACTCCCACACCCTCCGGGCTCTGTGCTCACACGGTGACATCCCCGAAGTCACTGAGTCCCCCCAGCCTCGCACAGCCTTTAATCCCTCTGCTCAGACACACGAATATTTTTATGTATATTGCATTCCTCTTGCTTAACCGCTCTGTAAACTTAATTACACAGTTAATCTCCGGCACTCCATATCTCACATTCTAAAATCCCCACATCCTTCCAAGTCCAACGAGAAGGCTGTTCGCTGACCTTGAAGCTTCTGCCTAGAGCCCAAGAGCCCCACGGCTGGGGAACCGTGCACTGCCTGGCTGGCCAGCAACACCTCAGACAAGTATGGCTGCTCCCCATGTCCACACCACACACATCGAGAAGTGGCTTTTGGGCTGTATTCAATGACCCTGGACTCCAGGAACATGCTCTCAGAGTGAGTCCTGTTTAATTTGGTTAAAAGAGATACAGGAGTGTGGGCATCTCTCTGCTGGAGGGCTCGTGAGAACAGAATTCAATGTCACCAGAACTCAGACTCAAGGGCATTCATTTCCATGATCTCTCAGGCGCTTGGGTCTGGGATTCAATGAAATAAAAGCCTAGTTCTTGTGCTCTATGTTCCCTTTCAGGGTCCAAAACAATAAAAGCAAGTAATATTTTGAAATCGAAAGCAAAAGTAACCAACAAACAAAATCCCAAAGAATTAAAGAATAAACAGGATAAAATCGCCACCAAACTCGCATCCATAGGACAGGGCAAAATGTCCTGGCACCCCACCAAGTGGCAGAAGCAGCCAACGTCCACTTGGGTTATTCAGTTATTTGCTTAGGATTACCAGCATGGGCTGGAGAAAGAGATTACTCAAACAGGACCTCAACAACACCGCAGACGCCAAGATTACTCATGTTCCAATAGTGTTACAACTAAATGGGAATTTCCGGAAGCTGTGGAGCATTTTACTGACCCTC